AATATGCTTACGAGGGAACCTCTTGAGGTTATAGAAAGCTTTCGAACTCAGACTACTTTTATCTTATAGATGTCAGTTAGTAGTGAAATACCCTAAGTTGGTTTGTACCCATGTTACTTTAGAATGGAGTTATGACCGTTTTACTGCTTTTTCGACCTATTTCACCGTGTTAACACGGTGCAACATCTTGTCAGCAAGATCTTGGTCAAGATACAAGGTACAGAAAAGTGAGTAGATCTTGAAAATTTAGATACAAGATAATCACATTATCTTGTACCAAGGTCTGTAACTAGATCTTAGGCACAGATATACAAGATCTTGGGTGCAGATTCGTATGATCTTAGGTACAGATATTCAATATCTTGAATTCCATATATCGTCTTTTTTGATAGCTTTTACTGATCTTTGTTCTTGGTAATTACATCTTTCATACTAATAATCAGAATTTTCCATATCTGCAGTCAAAGCCCTACTGCCGAATCTATTTTCGATAGAGGAAAATATTTATCTGAACATGTAATGCGAGTTACATTCTCTTTAAAAATATCACAGAAGAACATGAGCTACAAAAATGCAAGCAAATTTTGAATTTACGTATATGAGTAATTTTAATATTTTAAAATTATGTCTATTTATGCAAACTCAAATCAAGAAAATCTATGAGTTAAAAAATTGGTATCCTCTAATTTTATGAATATAGGAATCTCATCTTTTTATAATTTTAATTTTTTATATTTTGTAATTGTTTTTAGTAATGTTGAGTCATCATTTTCCTTAATTTTTACTAAAAGGCATCAGATGAGAATAATAGCATCAAGTTGATGTTTATGTATTTAAATAATATTCATCGGTAGTGTAAATAACAATATAAACAATCTAGAAATAAAAAAAAATGTAACATTGTTTATTTGTAGAATGTATTAGAAAATTTACTATAGAAAGAAAGAAATCAAAGGACGTATCTAAATATAGTATTTGATGAAAATTCAAAACGTCTTTTACTTTATCATTAACAAAATACTCTTTGAACAATTTTAATTCTAAAACATTTTGTGTCGTAATGAGACATCAAATCATCTTCTTTTAAACTACGAATATTTCTTAAATTCAAACTAGGTCAGTCTAAATGTATTTGTAACTACTTTATAAATTTTCTGTTGAATAATCTTTCTTTCTTCTTTGTTTTTCATGGCTTTAATTCTATTCGTTGGTAAGAGCCCCCACTGTTGCTAAATTTCTTTAAAATTTATCATATTTACAGGCCTATATGATTGAGTTTTGGAACGTAATTCCGAATAATTCAAGAATTTTTAAAATATGTTAATAAATTAATGATGTCGCTTTTTGTTTTACTCAAGATCTTGGGAAAATATAATCGAAAACAATATATTTTCTCAAGATCTTGATTTTTGAGGATCTTTGAACTGATCTTGCTAAGATCTTAGGTACAGATTTATCTGATACGACCAAGATATACATATACTGATTATCTTTTCAAGATCTTGATAAGATCTTGCTTACTAATCCCAAGATTTCAAGATCTTGCTTACAAGATGTTCGACTAGGGTTACCAACCAAAGTAAACCAGCGAATTTCGACCTGAAATTCTGTGCATGAATAGGTCTATGAGTCACTAGAAGACCCTAAAAATTTCAGACAAAACGAATGCATCCTTCTTGAGATAATGAATTTTCAAAAAATGACTGTTTTCCAGGATAAATTTTAATTTCTTGTGAGAAACAGTCGTTTTTTCGAAAATTCACTATCTCAAGAAGGATGCATTCGTTTTGTCTGAAATTTTTAGGGTATTCTAGTGACTCATAGACCTATTCATGCACAAAATTTCAGGTCGAAATTCGCTGGTTTACTTTGGTTGGTAACACTGTGTCATAGGTCGAAAAACCAGTAAAATGGTCATAACTCCATTCCAAAGCAACATGGGCATAAACCAAGTTAGGGTATATTACTACTAATTGACATGTACAAGATAAAAAGTAGTCTGAGTTCAAAAGCTTTTTATAACCTCAAGAGGTTCCCTCGTTAGCTAAGAATCATTCAATGATGCAACTTTTCCAGAAAAAAATGATGATGAAACAAAAACGAAAAATGATTCAATGAATGCTAAAACTAAGATGTACTCAAAAGACAAAAAGTGCAATCGACGAAAATCTTGTTTAATCTAATGCCATTCTGTATCAGCAATAATCAGGAATTTTTTCATGGTAACATGAACGAATAGTTTCAGTTCCTACATCTGATACAAATACAGAGGACGAAATTTCACTTTTCTCTGAATCATCAACATTGGAAGATATTGTAGAAATTGTGGGTATGGTCGTTGGTAAAACAATCAGAGAGTTCAATTTAATTAAATCCATGATTTTCAAAATTTTGCATAGGTATGCGAAAAACTAAATTTATCGTGTTTTACTTTTATGCTTACACATCCTTCATATCTGTAAGAATATTTTAGTCATTTTAGTACTCTTTAGAATGTGAGTGCGTTGGTGTGTGATTCACGGTTTGTATTTGGGCGTTTCGTTATCTTAAGATTTAGTCTCACTCACACCCTATAGACATTGAAGAGATTAAAGGGATTTAAAGGACTAAAGGGACTAAAAAAAGTAAAGAGACTAAAATGATTAAAGGGACTAAGAAAAGTCAAGAGACTAAAAGGACTAAATGGTCACAAATATGAAAGTCATAGTGGTTTCTAAAGCATACAAGTAAAATGGGATAAATTTAATTTCTCGTGTATCCCTCAACTGTTGCCTCCTATTGATATTTAGATATTCGACCAATCAGATAGTGAGAAATCAGAGCTTATCAAAACAATTCCTCATTATGACCAGTGCCCGGCGTGACCAACTTTTTTGGTCACGGTCACGGCCCTTCTTTCTGGTTTCTCAACATGAAAAAAAACTTTCCAGAAAGAGCTATTGCAAAGTTTCTCTAGGGAAAATTCTTGATATTTCCATGCCAGACCCTTTATGGATTCAGTCAGGATCCTTCCAAGATTCGCTCTTTGTTCCTGAGGAAACGACGAAATTTTGAAAGAAGTATGTCGCCACGGAATTTCAAGATCCTAGCAGAATTCGAAAAAGGATTACATTAGAATCCTGAACAGGTTACCATTGTTGTTGAACTTGGAATAATTTAGCACACAAGATGTGGTTGTGGGTGTGAATAGAAGTTCTACTTGTATTAACTGACAAGAACAGCCACTGATATACTCTCTTGTTGGCTTTTTGTTGCGACGCTCCTCAGTTTTAGCTGCAAAAGTTGACTGGGTCGTTGTACCAAGGTCTGTATCAGATCTTGTCTAAAATTTGATAAAATCTTGAGAGAATCCTCTCCATTATTCCTGTTAGAACCCTAAGCAGGATCATGAATCCTTGAAGGATCCTGTATTCATTATCTACAAACACATCTGGCCAGAAACGGAAAGAAATTCTAAACAGAATCCTGTATAGCTGTGAAAAATCCTGGCAGCAAGAATTGAGCCGAGGCCCCACACCCAAAGCTTGACAAGATCTTGGAGATTCAGGATCCCGACAGATCCTTGCAAAATTTCTGAAGGAATGAACAGGATTGAAACTAGGGTTCTGCTAACTATTAGAAGTGATGATCGGGGGAGGGTAGCTTCGCGGAGGTGCCCGTACTTCCCCTCAGGAGTGTCCAAAATCACGAATAGTAGAAACTTCCCAATTTTTCATAAAAACCGATGACCGGGTGGGAGAGGATAGCTTCGCGAAGGTTCCTCTGATCCCATCAGGGGTTTCCAAAATTTCGAAAAAGTTCCCGTGACTGATTGTGATCAAGCTTCACTCACGGTCACGGCCGTGACCGTGACTCACTGGTAGTCATGGCAGTTACGCGGGGCACTAATCATGACGTCCCTACATCAGCTCAGACCGATCATGTGACACAAACTTTGATAGAGCTAACAACATCAATAAACACTTTCCAATTTCAGTTTCGAAGCATAAAAGGTATTGACAATTGATTAGGTTTGATGTCGCCAATATTTTATTTAAGAAATGAAAGAATAAAATACTCAGCCTATTTTGTGAAACACGATCTGAAAGGAGCGTTGAAGTATAAAGGGTAGAAATTTGCACCCACTCCCCTCCCCCGCCCCCACAGACCGTGGCAGAGAAACTTTATACTCATCATTGACCGCGACAGAGGAATTGTAAAGACCATCACAGACCATAGCAGACCTTTTGATACATGATTTACGATTATATATCCCTAGAATCTCATAAGAATATATCAACTGCTGCCTTGTTGTAGCTCTAGAGAATTAAGTAAGAAATGATGAATAAATGGGTTCCACGGTATATCGAAGAAAACCATATTCGTGTGACTAGTAACAACAGCTACACCGTGTTTCACATTTTTAATCCCGCAAGGGATTGCGCTAACAGCTTTTTATTACTTATTGTACGATTCCTGATGATCCGGTAGATAATGATATTGTAACAGCTGTTTTAAAATCATGTGAAAATGACAAAGCTACTGGTTTGTTATGTAATTACAAACATATATGCTATAAATTTTGATTAACTTGAAAAACAAATAACAATACGGCGTGTAATCATGAAACATATGTTCGATATGATTCTTCATGCAACTGGAAAATTATATTCTCAGTATAGAAACAATTTTGACAATCATGATGAATTAGTCTTCAATAAACAAGAAATTCTTATTGGTGTCAATTATCGGCCCTTGATTGAGTAGTATTATAAGAACGATACAAACTTACAATATACATAAATCAGACACATGAAACAAATGAAAAATGCAAACAATTTCCTTTGTAAATGATGATTGTTTCGACTTGAAAAGTGTACACAAACTGTTGATAATAAAATAAAGTTGTTTATAAGATCCTTTTTTTAATTAAATTATTATTATCAAGATTTATTTGAAAAACAGTTACAAAGAGTATAATATGTTACTTGTTAAGTCATATATTGTATGTTTTTTCATTTTTAAGAATCATCGATTCTCTTTAAACTTTCATTCAATAATTGATCTTCATTTAAATCATCATCCTTCTTAATATTAGTTTGTCCGTCCTGTTTTGATGTTCGTTGATTGTCACGAACACAAGTGCTAAATGTATTCTACAAAGTTTTTTAAATACTTTTAATATAATAAATTCATACCAAGTTAATCCCATTTGTTCAGTATCTTCAATAGTTTGTGGTAAGGTTCTATTCAATGTTTCAGGTAACATTAAAACAAGAAAAGCTGCGAAAAGTGATAAAATACCAAACAAAACAGTTGGTAGATTAACCCACAATCGAGTCTAAAACAATAAGAACTTTCAAAAAACCAAACACACTATCATTAAAATATAACAATACATACTAAAATATCATTGCTTGTTGTTCCAACAATTGCTCCAATTCCTATTTATAATACTTCGTAAGGAAAACTTTTTTTTAAATAAAATCTTTTACGTGCAACCATTGAACAAATACCCATTCCAGTATTTCTTATTCCTGTTGGAAATAATTCATTGGCATATATGTAAATAATAGCATAACTACCAGCTGCAAAAAACTTTAATAATAGATTCATTAAAAATATGAGTACTTTTTGTCCTATAGAAAGAAAAATAGATTCATTTATTGATGATAAAAATTTAATTGACTTTGACTATTTTTTAACATTATATTTTGAGCCGGAATTGTTAATAATGCAATTATTGCAAAACAAAAAACAGCAATAAAATATGGTCGTTTTCGTCCAATACGATTAAGCACAAGATGTAATACTATATAAGATAGTATTTCCACACATGCTGAGATTGTAAATGATACTAAAATATAGAATAAGAATATTAAATGATGGAACTTTTGTGTTTAAATTCTTACAATAAGGATTAAATCCCCAAGAACCAGTACTTTGAGAAATTCCATAGAAAACTAAATTTTGTACAAACCTTAACAAAATAGAATAATTTATATGAAAAAGAAATATTCCAAAGAATTTACCATTGAAAAAATAAATTAATTGATATGATACACATAATTTTTGATTGAAACAATGCTAAAACACCGACTTCTAATTGCTTGTCTGTTGTATTCTATTAAGAACCAAAATAAAATTTCTTTACTAATATTTCGAATGATCTATAATATTGAATTTTTATAAAAGAAAACTTGGATCATTTTCACAATTGACATTGAATTATCATCAAAGAAGTTATTTTGTATATTAATCTTATGAAACATCTTTTTTTTCAAGATTTCAGAGAAATAGTTTTATTTACTTTTTCTTGTGTGTTTATTAATTGTTGAAACATTTCTTCATCAAACGTTCGTTTATTTGTTTCAGCAATCTTTCGAAGTAAATTTTCTGCTTTTTTATAATGTCTTTTACTTATCATCCATCTCGCTGATTCTGGTAATACACTAATAATATTTGGAAGTAATTAGATAATTTTAAAAAACAATTTTTTTGTGTGACTTACAAATAAAAAAATGTAAATGGTATTGTAAATATCGATAAAGTTATGGTTAAACGTCTCCATTCACGAATAAAATAAGCAAAAGCAACTAAGAATAATTGACCAAAAGCAAAAAAATATTGAACAATAATTGCTGTTAAAAATTTATTTTTTGGACCAACTAATTCTGTTGCTAAATAAAAAGATTTTTTCCAAATAATGAAAACATTTTAATGCCTCGCAAAAAGAATTTACCTAATACAAATCCAGTAACAGCAATACCTCTTGTTGAACAAGCCAATATAAAACGACTTATTGTATAAACTAAATAACTTGGCCAAAATCCAAATATGTTTTTTTGTGGAAAAAAAGCACAAATAAATCCCGTACAAGCCATTAATATTATACAAATACTCATGATAGGACGACGACCATATCTTTAGAAAATCAAAAAATAATTATCAAACTACTTAGATAGTATCCGAGTTTTCATTTAACTATGAAATACGGCACGAAGCTTCGAATGTCGATTATCGAAACATCGAGAATTTGTAAAAAAAATGAATAATCGTTTCTACTATTGACTACAAAATGTTTTTCTCCAAAAGATATTTACAGTTTACTGAACTGAAGTTCGTTTCTGTCATTGTAATCGAGATATCGAAAAAGTTGAATATTGATCAATCAAATGATCCAAGTTAGAAAGAAAGTAAAACGAACATACCCATTACAAAATTCGTTACTAAAAAAATTCTATTAATGCATATCAGCAATGTACTCGGTGAATACTATCAATGGATGGTTTCAATCGATCTCTGATTGATTGTCTATCATTAGCTATCTTCACAACTATCATGTATAAAATCAATCGTTTAAAATGAATGACAATTAACTTTAATTATTATGTTTCTTTTAATTCTCTCAAAGCTTGAAAAAATTAAAGTTCACAAAAAATTACTATGCCATATGACTCTCTCTAAGAAAATGGAACTTCATATTGAAAAACGGCAAATGGATGATATCGATTCGATCTCATGATTTTTATTTTGCGTTTGAACAAATATTGTGTAATTTTCCATTGTCAAGATTATTGCAACAGACGATACCAACCTTCGATGAATACATCGAGAAAGGAAATAAAAACTAATGAATGACTGATACATGCTGTGCTATGTACGGCGTTAAAAATCTTAATGAATTTCATTTACAATAGAAGACAATTAAAAAAGGAACTTGATTAACATTCAGTTCCTGGATGTTGGAAGTTTTCAATTATTTCTCAAAAAATGTAGTCACTCTCTAGTACAAGTACTAAGTTTCAATCGCCCTTGTAGTAAAGCAGGTTTTATCAGAATACCCGAAAAAGTCCCCCCCCCCCCCTACCAATTTGTCACAGAATCGCAGTCGAGTACCCTATTGAGTGTTGTTTCAGTGCACAGATACTGATTAGCTACTCGTTCGATTCCTTATCCAGTTTCAATTAATCTATTGAACACTTAGTAACATGCTGGAATCAGATACTAAAAAAACTAAAAATCACCCTACGAAGTTGAAATATCCAAATGTTTCTGTGATAAACTGATATTAAGACAATCTTTCGGGAATGTTGAACCTCGTGTATTCACTATAGCTGATTGTTGTTAAAAAAGAATTTAGCATAGGTTATAATTCATGTGTGGCAAAAGACCTGTTATTTGCATCTGAATGAGCATTACGAGAAGACTTCTTGCAGTGTCATCAATAACAGAATTAATTTGAAAACTATTATTTCTATTGAAATAAAAACTAATGAGAATCGTACTTTAACATAACCTTTTGGTTGAATATAATATTTAATGAAAGAATTTCCAGACAAGAAACCATTACTCTAATTTTCTTACCGCAAACATTCCAAGGGGGAAACATCGTACTTTTGTACTTTAAAGTACGTAAAGTACATTAAAGTACTTTAAAGTACCTTAAAGTACCTTAAAGTACATTAAAGTACTTTANCCCCCCCCCCCCTACCAATTCGTCACAGAATCGCAGTCGAGTACCCTGTTGAGTGTTGTTTCAGTGCACAGATACTGATTAGCTACTCGTTCGATTCCTTATCCAGTTTCAATTAATCTATTGAACACTTAGCAACATGCTGGAATCAGATACTAAAAAAACTAAAAATCACCCTACGAAGTTGAAATATCCAAATGTTTCTGTGATAAACTGATATTAAGACAATCTTTCGGGGATGTTGAACGTCGTGCATTCACTATAGCTGATTGTTGTTAAAAAAAGAATTTAGCATAGGTTATAATTCAAGTGTGGCAAAAGACCTGTTATTTGCATCTGAATGAGCATTACGAGAAGACTTCTTGCAGTGTCATGAATAACAGAATTAATTTGAAAACTATTATTTCTATTGAAATAAAAACTAATGAGAATCGTACTTTAATATAACCTTTTGGTTGAATATAATATTTAATGAAAGAATTTTCAGACAAGAAATCATTACTCTAATTTTCTTACAGCAAACATGCGCAATATGAAGACGTTCAACGACAATAAATTTGTTTTTCATCAAATAAAATTTTCTACTTTGATCATATTGCAAATTCCAGCAATTTTAATTATTCTATTAATTTTTGCGTTTTTCATTACACATCGTGCTACTTTAAATATTCTTCAAAACCAAGCTTTAATTGGTCTTAATGATCATGACGTTCATTCAATTAGTTGTGGATCTACCTATGGCAATTCATTTCTATTATCTCGGATATGTTAATCCAGCAACACCCGCTTATTGTACTTGGTGGACATTTTTCGAGTATAGTCTTAATTTAATAAGTGAACTTCTTGTGGCTACTATTTCCCTTCAACGACATATGCTCATATTCCAAATAAATATATTCCACAGTCGTTTGAAATGCTTTATGCTTTACCATATTCCTCTAGCATTTTGTGTTATCTATCCAATTATTTTCTATACGATTATCAATGTATTATAGCCATGTGATGGTACTCAATGGGATTTTACATCAAATCTATGTGGTTATGCCAATTGCTATCTTGTCTACAATAAAGTATTAAGTACCATTGATTGGTTAGCAAACAATGGTTCACCAATTGTCGTCATTATTATAGCTAATGTATCATTAGTCATACGCATTATTAAACATAAGCGCCGTCAACAAAAATCTATTCCTTGGAAAAAACAACGACGTATGACATTACAATTACTTAGTATCTCAAGTCTTTATTTAGTTGCAATGTTACCCAGTCTCACCATAGAAGTTACTCAACAATTGAATTCTCCCCGATTCTTGGTTAATTTTCAAGCAGATTAATCTCTTGATTTTATGTATGCTATATGCCTCTTCTCACCCTGGATATATCTCTGACTACTACCAGAATTTGTAAAATGGATTTCAAAACTAATACGTCGTGGAGCAATAGTAGACAATGCTATTAGACCTGCATAACTTATCACATTTTTCTTTCGATATAATCATTATTGTTTTTATTGCTACATTTTTGTTTTGAATATCGAAAAAAACCATACTTATCAGCCATAATTCCAAAAAATATTGATCCAACCATATAACCAACAAAAAATAGATTTTGTACTGTTGAACGAAATATAGTTCGATCACAAACCATTAGCCACTAGGAAAAAAGCATGTCTGTTTGAGTTATGTTGTTATTATTATAACAGAGATACAGACTTCTTCAACAAGTGTATATTGATGATATTTTCGATCAAAAACATAACCTTCACATGGTTGAATACGTACTTCACCATTGGTTGACATTGTTTTCATATAACATCGCTGACATTCTCTAATAGATATTTTCATATTTGCTTTACAGTATGCTTCATCCGGTTGACTTTGATTGTAGAAAACTGGAATATGATTATCATAGACAGAATCATTCTCATAAAGTTTACATCGAAATGATGGTGTTGCAGCTGCAAAGGACCATGTATAAACCATAACTAAATGAAAAGATAGAATTTATACAAGAACTATAAGTCTTCAATATACTTACCAGGTGGTAACATGTACGTCAAACATATACAAAAGTATCTTAACTTTTGATATTGACCAAAATCATTAATTGTATGTAGAAAATCGTCAAATTTCATATTATTTTTTTTTTTAAAGAAAAGCTATTAAATCAATATATTTACTGCAAAAGATCACAATACCTAAAAAGTATCCAATAGACTTTAGCTTCATCTATGTTCGCTTTTCTTACTTGGTATTTATGTTGGAAACGATAGTACGAGTCGCTACATAGGAAAGAAGAAACAGTAATGTGGTATGATATTAGTCGATAGTAAGAATCTTATCCACTTACAGAAATAGAAAGAAAAAAAGAAAAAAATGACCTCAAATGGGTGTATGTACACATATACTTCATCGATAGCAATAATGTATATTTTATGGACGATTGTGTAAACGATGTTTTGATGTTAGCTGCTGTTTTACTAACATGACAAAAACAGAACAGAACAGAACAGAATAGAATGGAAGAAATAAGATAAAAAGAAAATTCAATGAGAAACTATAAATCATGCAAAAGAAAAAATAACATCCTTTCAACAATATGAAATGTATGAAGAATCAATTTATAGATATGTTACATCAAATATTGTTAAATTTCTTTTTGATGATTAATAAAATTGTCTAAATTTTTCCTATTAATTCATGTTTTTTTCTATTCGGAATTCATCATTATAAACATTCATTTAAAATGTTAGTCAGCGAAAAGAGGCACACATTCAGTGCAATCACGATAGATTTCTGTTGTTCTTTTCAATCAGTACATAAAAGTTAAGTAACAAAAATTTCAATTATTTCTTTTTCTTTTCACGAGGAATAAAAGACCATAAACAATTTTCATATTACTTTTGCCAGCTACCATGTATGCTCTCTTTGAAAAGATTGAGTAAGTAAAAAATATATTGTTGAAGATTATTTATACAAAAACAAAAAATGCAAATTGATAAAAACAAAGTATTAAGTATATCCTTATTTTTAGTGATACAAATATACCAAATAAAAAACGTGTTACAGTGTCTCGGTTTCGAGCTTCATCAGATACGAATCCGTCTCGAACATCAATCCATCGACCATCACCTACTAATTATGGAATAAAGGATTCGAACTCAACTCTCGATTATTTCTATAATGATAATGAAACAAAAATCATCGGGGAGCACATTCTGTTTATTTATTTTGATCTTCAATCTTCATTAAATCATGATTTTATTGGTCCACTTCGAGCAATCAATGATTATATTCAAATATATATAGATTCTGTAACTTGTTTAGATTTTTTAAAATCTTCAAATGAAATAATATTTTTTATTTCTTCAACGAATGATAAACAATTGATTAAAGAAGTTCATGATTGTGATGCCGTCGAAGCCATATTTATATTAAATTCAAATTTGAAACTAGACAAAAATAGATTTCCAAAGTCATTTGGTGTTTACGTACATCCAGAAGAGCTTCTTAAATCTATACGATTCGCACATGAATGGTTTGAACAAACACAAATGAATTTCTTTTCATTTGAACATGAGAAAATATTTCTCTGGTCTCAATTATGGAAAGAAGAAGTGAGTAAATAAAATTACAAAAAAAGAATCCAAAAAAACAGAAATTTTTTATTGTTGTTTTTTTTTTTTATAGTTTATAAAATCAACAAGTTCAAATGTCTCATCTGATAAAGAAAAACTTGTTAAAACGGCTGAAAAATATTATAGAGGAAATACAAAATTATTAGATTCTCTCGATGATTTTGATTGTTCTTATGATAGGAATGATGCATTACAATGGTGTTTTTCTTCTCCATTTCCATCACGTTTTCTTCATCATGCACTTAGTACTCGTAATACAAAGTCTATCGATCTTTGCCGTTTTCTTATCATTGATGTATCTCATGTTTTAAAACCATCGAATGATCCTAAATCGAATAATCAAATTTTTAGAGGTTTAAAAATGACAAATGAACTTCTTGAAAAATTAACAACTCATACTGGAAAACTTATATGTCCAAAAGGGTTTTTTTCTTGTACTACATCTAGAGTAGCAGCTTTGGAACTTGCTCGATCACCAGATTATCGTCCGGATCTTAAACCTGTTTTATTTAAAGTTTATTGTGATTCATCAGTTCCCATTGGTGAATTGTCTGCGAAAGATATGTCGACATTGATTGTATTCGATGTTTATACTGCATTTCGAGTGAAATGGGTTAGTCGTGGTCCAGTATCAATTGTAGATTTAGAACCTGCAGATGAAGACGGACGAAATCTAGCACGAGAATACAGGAAAAAATTTAAGTCATCAAAAATACAAAGTTTACTTGATCAACTTTTAGTTTTTCTAAAGCCTCCTCCACGATTGCCACCCATTAAACGAGTACCAACACCACCAAAAAATCAAGTGTCTCAAATATTGCCAAAGAAAGTTAGGTAAATTCTTTCGATTGTATATGATAAAATATTTGTATTTTATGGAATTCATACTAGTCCACGGGTACCTGACAGAGATGAGATACAAGCTGAAAAGATGGCACAACGTGGTCACATTGATCAAGCCATAGCTATGTATAAAAATACGAACAACCCTTCGCCTCGTGTTCTGAATAATATTGGTCAATTATATGCTGATAAAAAGGGAGATTATCAAGCAGCAACAAGGTTTTATAACCAAGCACTGAGAATTCAAGAAGAGGTACATAAATATTTTTTTTATTGACAAAGGAAAAATCCAAATTGAAACTCGCCATTTGAGCTCATTTAGTACTCACAAGAGTGTTTTGATGAGACGGGCCCGCCAAAATATTGAACTTCCAAAAGATATTGGCATAATACAGTCAGCTTACAAAAAACGAGTTTATTTGAAAAGTCAATACCTTGACAAAGGAACATTCGTTTTAGTTGAAACTTTCAGGATATAATAATATCATTAGACCTAAATATGAGTCGAAAAATTTAGTAAAAATATCGTAAATCAAATTCAAAGGTTCATGAGGACCAACCCGTTTAAAATTTTTCTAGTCTCACAAAGACATTCTAGTAGATTCAATATGAGCTCAAACGGCAGGTTTAAGTTCAAGTTATTCCCTTGTGAACAAAATATTAAAAAAATATCGTTTGCTTTTTTTCAAAGAAAGGAGAAGATGTTACCGAAACATTAACTCAAATTGCAATTACTCATCATAATCGTCAGGATTATGGCAAAGCTTTATACTATCATTCTCAGGCATTGAAATTACGAAAAAATACTAATCAAATTGATCAAATAGCAATTGCTAACAATCTTATTGGAATCGCTAATGCGAATTGGGGACAAGAAAATTTACCAGAAGCATTGATTCATGCACAAGAAGCGTTAAAATTGAATGAATCTGTTAAATATGGAAATGATTTGAATTTAGCTTTGAATTTAGCCGTATTGGCTAATATATATCATAAAGCTGGCTATGATGTTAAAGCCCTTGAATTTGCTCGACGAGCAATGTCAATTCTCGAACGTTATGATAAACCAGATTCACTTGCTTTAGCATCAGTACTCAATAATTTAGCAGCAATTCAAGTAGCATTAGGATCAATCTCGGATGCTCAAATTAATCTTAATAGAGCATTGACAATTTGTAGAAAATTTCTTCCAGAAGGACACCCAAAACGTGTTATAATGGAAACAAATATTAAGCGCATGAAAGAAATAATAAAATACATTAAAACTGTTGATAATAAGAATACTAAAAAATCTTAATCAAAGTTGTTCATTTGATAATGATATGTATTATTGCAAACGATAAATTAAAATAAAAAACATTTTATTATATAATTTTCACCAACATTAAACTTAACATTTTGTCAAATTTCTGTTTTGAATATTATCAACGATGTTGATGTGTTTATTTCATTACATGATATCAATATTTTGTCTAATTCAACACAAAACACATTCTTTTTACGATTTAGTTAATAGAAAATAACAACTTATCAATATTCTTCAAAGAAGTATCTTAGGCAGAATTTTTTTTTAATTGGATGCAGAACCATGAAATGATTTCTTTTTTATTTAAAAAAAGAATTGTAATTTTCATTTCTATTAAGAAAGCATATAGCACTTACTCGTTTCTTCTAAATAGACAGAACATTCATTTTTCACTAATTGATATTTCAATGCATGCATGAACGATTTCTTCTCTGTTGACATTAGAAAATTATGTTTGAAATTATTTTTAGGAACCAACAAATCAATATATTAAGTTTTTTCAGCATCAAATTTCAAGAGAAGATATTTATTATTCTACCACAGGGAATACATAAGCTAAAAAGTGTTTCATTGTTTTTGGTTGAAACACAGTTTAATAAAACTTAGCAACATAATATATTCACACATTTACTATTATCTAAAATACCAGATCAAATTTGCAGACAAATAAAGATAAGCTCAAAGATTCTTTCTTTTTTTTTAATCGGAGCTTGTTAAGAAAAATTAAATTCCAATTGAATATACTACCATACTCTGAAACTTTCTAGAATCAGCTACATGTCATTGGAGAATACTCACAGACTTTACAATTATAATAGTAGAAATATTTGAGAAACGAGATGCACTATGAATCGATATGTTATTAGCTCAATACAGAACTAGCCACAAAATCAAAGAAAGACTTAAAAATGAAACAATCATCAAGTAGTAACGGTGATATTCTTGAATAGGAGGAGATCGAGCAATTGAGTATTGTTGATCTTTGAAGTAGAAACAACAATTTTTCCTGTTTGATGCGAGATTGTTATACCCAGAAGATCCATCATTCCGACTATCGAAAGCGATTGTGTAATGATGTGTTACTGAATCCTGGGACGTTGGTTATAGCCGATGAGACAGCCACAAAAGATGGTACTGTTTAATGTAGTTTCTTAGAGTTTGCAGTTGTAAAGGATTGTAAATTGACGTTTGATGGGCGCAACATTAAGACTGTATCTGATCGTGCTACACACAGCTGATAAAGTTTGTCAAGCGATCTCAAAATAGACTATCCGCTTGTTTACAATACAGTAAAATACAATCGTAATGCTGCGCCTATCAAACGGTATAAAAAATCATCTAAAACGATCTCTGACGATCAAGCTTATTTGACCTGCGATTAATTTTCACTATTATTTCGTCGTCATCCTTCAGTTAATTTTACGACTTTAGGGAAAACACCAGCGTGATGAGGTCGATCTTTGCCGCTTTCTTGGACCAAGTATGAATATGACTAAAAATGTGTCAAGTATTGATATATTCTTACTAACTGAAAAACGACAGTTTCCATCAAGAAATCAGAAATGAAGTTTTTGAGAGCAAATCATCTAATACTGATTATCTTCATATAATTTTTGTTAGGTAATAATTTGTACTGGTGGTAGATCACATCGACATTTCTAACATAAATTTTTTTTTGTTATCGTATTAAGTAGACTTTTTTTCACAACTTATAGGAAACCATTTATGACGAATTCAAAACAACCTTTTTTATGAAATTTTTCTTTTTAAATTTTTATTTATGGAAAAAGAATAAACAATATCTAATAAAAATTTTCAAATTATTTTGTCACCAAACACAGTCACTTGTGTTGATAAAATTAAATAACTTTTTTTTTGATAAAAAATCTTGTGAAAATCATTTTAAAAGTTCAAAAATAAGTGAATAAATGTGATAAAATTGAGCATTGTTCAGTCATGTAGATATTCTCACAAATATCAGCATATAAACATACGAAAATCTCTTGTGGTCCTATAAATTTTCCATAGCTATTAATCGTTGCGAAATTAGGATTACGTTTAAAACAACGTGTTTTCTACTGAAACTGTCAACTAAATACAAGATGTGTGCTAATAACTCGTTTTCAAGTTTTATCAGAAATTAATTCAAATTAAGCTTGCTCTAATATTCAACCTCTTAGTTTTAAAGTATTGGCCTTTATATATGGTTTCGGTATTTGAATATTAGTTTTGATATTGATAGTATGATTTTGAGATACTAGTAAAAACGTTGATTTTGAAACGATAAATCTAATATTCTTTCCTGTATACTTTATTATATATAGTCTCTTAAAATGAACCTATCATAGAATATTATAATTATATCGATGAGAAGTAGTAAATATTTCGTAGAAAGCATCAGCTGATAGTAATCAAAATTTCTTGTCGACATCTATTTATAATTTAATCTTAACCATACGATGTGAAAAATATAGTTTTAATACATTTTACAAGAAAATCATCGTTTCAATTTGTGCACAGTTTTCAAAAACTTTTTGTCGCTTTAGAAATTACGCACTTGTCCCGTTTTGGACAAGTAGTTTCATTTAACACAGCATCTTTAGTTTCTGGATTGGCTGTTTTTTTATAATTAACTTCATGAGTGTAACTCATCACTGAGAGCAGGCGGCGGAGAGTGAGGGCTTAGAAAGGACACAACATAGACAAGTTCCACAATTAGAGAGGGCAGGGGCGGGTGTTACACTTTCCGTTGGCTACGTCCCTGATTAACATTTTTTTTGTGAAACAGAATTCCGATTCAACTTATTAATAACTAGTGAGGAGCACGGAACTTTCGGTCACGTAAAGTATGATATAGCATTTATTGAACTGCATAACATATTGATGTTTTGTTAATAAATCATTCATTAAAGTTGACTCAATGATCGAAGGAGGAGTGTAAGCATATTGTATTTTTTACCTGTAATTAGATGCTATTACAAGGGGGAAACAGCAGAGACTTCAGCCGTGAAGTCCCGTGAAGTCTTGAAAGTCTTTTGAAGTCTTCTGAAGTTTTTTGAAGTCTTCTGAAGTCTCTTGAAGTCTCTTGAAGTCTTATGAATTCTCATAAAGTCTCTTGAAGTCCCTGAAGTCTCATAAAGTCCCTTGAAGTCTTTGAAGTCTCATGAAGTTTCATGAAGTCTCAAGAAGTCTCATGAAGTCTCATGAAGTCTCTTGAAGTCTCGTGAAGTCTCTTGAAGTCTANGAAAGTCTTTTGTCAAAACTTATATAGTCTATGCAAAATTTGATTCTCTATCCAACAGTGTACTTTAAATTTAATTTTGTTACATTGAAGAAGCAAAAATGTATTTTTTGTCGAACTACATACTGACAGTTTTGAGATTTAACTTTTCTAACATTTAATTTCTTAAACGGTAGGAAAGTTAAATTAGTCTTCGTCAATCTATTTGTTTTTCAGCATTTAGCTGAGTGTCTCCTCTTTCGAACGGGTCCTTAAAAGAATCATTTGAGCTGGTAAAATTAGTATTGATTTAATATTTTCATATTTAGAAGGCGGGCGGTCTTATAATTATGAGACTGGGGAGACTCAAAAAATGGTTTTGAATGCATTCATTGATGCTAATTGATCGAATTCAAAGCAATACAGCACATGATAGACTGCTACTATACGCCCATAGATATGACATTAGATTGAGAATAAAACATTGCTTAGCTAAAGAAATCTTTATTGTTCTCAGAAACCTCAAAACTCAATGGTGGGGAGGGAGGGGGGTCTTATAATTTTGAGACCCTCTGTATAGCCGAAATTCACATATATCATTATTGTTCGTCTTGTTCTAGTGAGCTTGGAAAAAATGATGATATAATCGACTTCGTAGCATTCACTGACGCTGCTGAAGCTCTAAATGTAGACGCAATTGAAGTTCTAAACGCAGATGCGAGAAAATTTATCGATTGATGTTGAATGATTGTTGGTGGTAGAAATAAATCTGAATCCATTTGAATATGAGGCATTGATCGAATTGTCATAGGAAAGTATCGGTTAAGAAATGATTGCACAAGCGAAATAACATCTTCCGTAGACATCGAATTGTGATCATCATGTGGTAAAAAGATAAGTTCTCTTTTTTCGTTGTGACTTAATGAATCGTATAAAGTTTGCGAATGTTGAGGTGGAATTAAATTATCAAGTTGCCCATGAATAAAAAGTACTGGAACTTTAATATGTTTTATCGCTACAAGATTATCCCATAATGAAGTACTAATAAATAACGAAAGCATACCAATTTTTTCTCGAACTAGATTTCTTATCGAAGTATAAGGAGATTGAAGAATAAGTCCACCGATTGATCTAGTAGAAGCAATATGGCATGCAGGACCACTTCCAATCGAATGTCCATAGATAATTATTCGATCAATCGGACATCGGAGTGTATCACGAACGAACGAATAGGCGCGGTCTGCATGTTCATTTATTGATTCTTCACTTGCTATTGTTTTCTCTTGACATAGACCATAGGATGGATATTCAAAGATCAGTACGTGAGCATTTAGTAGTCGACTGAATGCTTTCATCACCGTATGCATACTACCAATATCACAACCGTTACCATGACACCATATAATAAAAAACTTTGCATCTCGCATTGTTGAATAAATCATACAGGGTATGGCTTGTGTTTGCTTCGGATCATGACTTCTTGGTAACCAAAATAAATGATTATCATGTGATTGCAATGTATAATCAGGTGGATTTGGTGCTGGAAAAAGAACCTTTTCAAGTAACATGATATTTTGTACAAGAAATACAACTATTGTATTTTGAATATGTGTCGTATTGATGATTCAAAATCTAAAAAAACTAAAGTATTATCAGAGTCTTCTTATTCAAAAATTTATAAAAGTTCTATGTAAATGTTATATTATAGAAAAAAAATAGATATTAAGAGTGTCATGTTGCATTCTATTTTGTCAATGTGAATACGTGTCTCATAGTATATCGACAGTATATTCTCGTGAAAAAGTCGAGAGCAGAGAAAGTTGATATATGACTTTTATTATTTGATTTCTCTCGATCAGCTCTATTTATCCTGAAAAAATCGTTTTTTTGCAATGAAATTGATCTGCTACCCAAGCAGACAAACATTTTCAACAACGCGTTTAAACGCACAAAAAAGGGCTTAAAATCCACAAAAAGTGGACGTGTTTGGCTCACAATCGCGGTTCTCGACTGTCAGCGAAAAACGACCATTTTTGGCCCCTTTTGTGCGTTTAATCTCGTTTTCAGCAAAAAAACGCTTGTAAACGCGTATAAACGCATAAAAAGAACATAAAAAGTTGTTATCTTTTCATATTCGTAAATGATAATCATAATTACAATCACAGTTCACGAAAATGAAAAAGACCACTACTTTTTATGTTCTTTTTATGCGTTTATACGCGTTTACAAGAGTTTTTTTGCCGAAAACGCGTTTAAATGCACAAAAAGGGCAAAAAGTGGTTGTTTTTCGCTGACGGTTGGGAACCACGATTGTGAGCCAAAGATATCCAGTTTTTGTAAATTTTAAGCCCGTTTTTGTGCGCTTAAACGCGCTTTTGAACATGTTTGTCTGCTTGGGTATCATAGGAACTCCGTGAAGCTTTATTCAGGAGATTTTTACTTTTCAAAGATTGGTGAATTAATCTTGAAAGGATACACGAAAATTATCCTGTGAGCTTGAAGTAGTATAGTATTGCGGAGAGAAACATGAATTCAATAGAAAAACCTATGATCTTAATGATTATCGAATACGGTTGATTGTAAGACAAGTTCCTAAGTACTGAGATAAACACTTGAAAATGTAATGTACAAAGTTATATCTTCCTTAGTGACTTATGGTATCAAGTATACGCAAAACGCTATAATAGACGCTAGTAGAAGAAAATAGAGCAAAATTATTTTATACGATCGGATAGCAATTATCAATAATATTCCCAAAAATATCTCCAAAAAGTGTTCCAAGACTAAATGCCAGGTTTAAGTTTTCAGAAGCTTGAAACTATGAAATGCGGGTTCCTAATGAGAATCATTTCAAGTACTTAAACAAAAACTTAAGATCCGTATACGTGTCTGGGACAGCCTTGTTTCTCTGCAAACACTGATGATATAAAATTGACCTGGATCATTTCAACAACTTCGGTTTATAACTTACTAAAGACAGCAGTAGCTCTGCGAGCTTTTGAGATATAAACGAAACTAAAGCATTCTATCGACTTTTCGGATAATGTTGACAGACACTGTATTTGCATGTTGGTCTGCATTGCCGTCGCGCTTTCTTCAATAATGACTACTTGATCAGCTGTGTTTTTATTGTCAGTAGTTCGCTAAACGATAGTGAAGTTTTCGAAATCCATCTAACACCTCCATAAATTCTTTCCTCAATGTGTATTAAAAACAGATATTTTCAAAGACACTGTCTGTGGGCATCACAAGTTCTTTGTTCACTATTATCTCTCAATAAGTGTAATCTGTCGAAGCCGAAGTAATTTAAAAACATATTCTTTTTAGTATTCACTAGCTAACGAAGTTTGTTATATAAAATGTTTTTCAATTCAATGTATCGTTTAGGATTTGGCAATCGATCTACAAATTACAAGCAATGGATTAACATAAATTTCATCCTCTCTTTCTAAAAAAATTAAGAATCTATTGTGTTCTTTTAAAATTTCTCATGATCAATTGTCTTTGTCGTAAAGTGAAAATAGAATCTCATCAATGACTTGCATAATCATTGTACAGTGAATACGACTTACTGTGATGAAAATAAGACCTTTAATGGACGTTTCAATTGTTCGAGGAATAAAAATCAAATCTAAAAAGAGTAAGGTGCACAAATTTAACTAGGCCGTGGATGTAAATGCGAATGAAAACAAAATCCAAAGCCGTTCTCATCTGAACACCACTCACACCCGCAATCTTTTACGAAACTTTTCCCCATTACTGTATATTTGAATTTGATGATATTTGCTACCAAACCATTTTCTATGCATGAAAATTTGACTCGTTCTTGAAAAACATTCTCGAATATATATATACACAAAGTTACTAATGACATAATTAGTCTTAACTGATAAAAAGTCCTAAAGAGTAACAGTTGAATAATTACGACAAAAAAAAACAACGATTTTGGATATGAAAGATAAAGATTGTCTATCTAACCTACATCGATAATGATACTGTCAACAAAACCTGTTCTATGTCTGATATAAAAAAAAATTGACTTGCAGAACTGTGCAAGATTTATAAATTATGACACTATCAATTGCGACATACGATAACAAGCAGATGAAATATAAAAGTTACCGAAGAGAAAACGACAGCAGCCAAAAAAGAGTAAGAAAAGGAATCAAAAAAAGAAATAATAAAGGGAAGACGAATGTATCTACCGGAATTAAGAAATATAGATATTTGTATAGAAAAACGTATGAATACGTCGGCAGATAAAAACATTTGATGACTCAAAGTAATCGTGCTTATTTTTCATAGACATTTTGACTAATTTGTCTCTTCCCATTATATAGCATTGCGCACACTAACTAAACAATATATAAGGAAAGAAATTTAAATCAACGAGAAAGAGTCCATTTTATTTGTGTTTACGAAAGTTTATTAATGCGTTAACAACATCTGAATTTGATTCACGACAACAAAGCCAATTCTCGAAAACAGAAAAATCTAGTTATGAGAGTCAAAATGCTTTTCTTGCAAAAAAGGCAACATACGACAAACCACTCTTCCTATACAGGAAGGCGATGATGTTGGTGTGTGAGAGTGTGAAGATGTAAGTTTGAGAAGAATGTGGGACTGATGACGATCTTCTGCTGATCCACGATATCTTTCTTAACATCACAGGTCATCATCTACACATTTGCATCCTATCCAAAGTAATCTCAATCTCAACCTCACACAAAATATTATTCCACTTGTGTTCTAAGATTTCTTTTTTTAATAACGAATGTGTGCTTCTGTGCCGAAAATGTATCTGAATTTCAAGGACAAATTACGCAGACGGAATTAATGCAGTTTCAAGTAATGAGTATCAGAATTTCACTGACAATATAGGCGTGCGTGCTGTAACTGAAGGAGATTAGATATATTCGGGTCAAATTAAAGGTCTTACTGCTAAACTAACAAATTAAAAATATAACGTGCTTATGGCATACCTGGACTGAGATACTCGAATTTCAAGATATATACAGTTTAGGCATCAGAATCGGTCTATATAAGATACGATCGGCATCAGTAGAAACTGCACAATCGAGATCACCAGATTTTGCTCAATTTAAGATACTTAGTAGAGAGAAGAGTTCTAACAATTTTTAGGCAAACTGTTAGAAAACATATTGTTTCTTTCCTCAGATACTGAATTTTTTCTGAGGTCATTATCGTCACAAAAGTACGTTTTTTGTAATTTTTCGTGACATGGATATCTTCTCAGCAAAAAAACATCCATTAGGCTTGAAGTTTTTACTGTGCAAACAACTCAAGTAGATATACTCACCATAGATATTTTTTTTGCCAAGAATGACCTATTGATCAGTTGATCATTAGTACCAGGTAGACGAAATACTTATCGTTTTTGGAGTTTCAAGAATATACATATCTCATCAACAGATTATGCTAGAGAATTGAAATTTACGCCATAGAAAGGTCTCATTAAGTAACTATTCTGGTCAAAAATGCAGCTCTCTAGCTAGTTTCTGTGATGCAGAACACCTCTCACAAAAACATGATTTCAAGGAAAACTTCGATTTTTGGAGGGGTCTATCTATCAATCTGACATTTGAATGAAAGCCGGGCTGGTGTGATTTCAGAGTACACATTGAGTACTAAAAATTTACCGAGGAATTTTCTTTCATAGAGAATATACTCGAGTTTGGTTCGAAATTAACTCTTTGACGGCGAAAGGCGTATATATATGGCTTCAAAACTTGAATAGGTTAGTAAAATAATTGCTTACTAGTTCAATCTATAGTGTATGGAGATAATTTCATGAAGCTCACTAGTGACATGCTATAGACGCTAGGGATGTCTTTCGGTAAGGCACGTCATTGATGCATATGGAAAAAATCATTTTATTTAGCATTCAAGAATGTTCTGTTGAAGTAGTCTAAATAAGAGGTACCTTTGTCGTATGAATATTTTATAGGAGTTCGATAAGATCATATTAAAATCAGTTTCGATAATTGATTATTGTTCTAAAAGAAGAGCAACTGACAAAATGGGCATGCAAACTAGCTTTTGAGAACGTATAAGAGAATTTGTCAAATGACATAGCAAATTATTTTTTCATATGCTCAGCACATTATTTCTCAACTCATACTTGCTTTACAAAACGGAAACTGGAAAGAAACGTCAATTGGTAGACTTTCGTTTACAACTTATACGTGAAATTTTACAAAGTTATCATACTCCAAAAACTATAATTGGGCGATCTGTGCAAGGTTGTATACCAACTGGACTCACTGCTAAACATTTTTTTTCTCTTGTACCTCAAATAACGGAAAGAAAAATCTTCAGACAAAGTGGGTGGGTGTGGGTCTTTGTGTAGTTGGGGCTTCAGGGAATTTCATATTTGGTAAAATCTTAGTTTTTGTTTTGATTCCAAAATAAACCAGTTGCATCTTTTAAACGAGATCTAAGTGCAGCAACTATAACCATTAACAACTTTCGTAATATTATTAATATTGGCAACACAATTTCATTTTTTTATGCAACAAATAAGTTCGCCGTCAAAGGGTTAATAGCACATGATCATCATATGAAACAAATCCATCCCGTATAAATCAGCACTTGATCCTTTATCAACCTCCATAAAAATATCTTTCAAAAACAACAAAAAAAATGTTTCGAAAATTATCCGTATCGTCTTCAGGGCTGCTGATTGGAAATAATTTTCGTGCAATATCGTCCGTACTCCACTTGTGGAGAATTTTCAAAAAAGAAATTTTGTCATTTTCAAAAGATATTTTTATGGAGGCCGATAAAGTATCAAGTGCTGATTTATACTGAATGGAATTTATATCATATGATGAAAATGTTCTATATAATTTCGAACCAAACTTTAGTATATTTTCTATGAAAAGAAGTTCATTTTATGGTATGTGCCGATAGTAGCCTCAGAAAAAATTCAATATCTCGGGAAAGAAACAATATGTTTTCAAACAGTTTGTATCAAAATTATTAGAAGTCTTCTCTCTACTACGTATCTTAAATTGAGAAAAATCTGGTGACCTTGATTGTGCAGTTTCCACTGAAGCCGGCCGTGGCTTATATAGACCAGTTCTTATATCTAAACTGTATATATCTTGAAATTCGAGTATCTCAGTCCAGATACGCCATAAGCAAGTCATATTTTAAATTCGTTAGTTTAGCAGTGAGATCTTTAATTTGACCCGAATATGTCTAATCTTCTTGAATTACAGCATACACACCTACATTGTGAGTATGTTTTTATTTGAAAGAGATGTCTTCGTATGCGACACATTTGGATGCGAATCGCGTTACTTATGCCTTGTAACTGGGAATGAAATTTTTTGTAAAGAAAACCTAAAAATTTTTTCTGTGTATGGCAAAGGAGAACTAACAGGCTTTCGAAACACATTTTTTTTAAATTAAGAAATGTAACTGTAATGAAATGTCCTTTCGTTTTCACTTTACCCCATGAATAACCCGAAATAGGCCCCAAATTGACAAATAGAAGCCTATCAGAGTTCGTTCTCATGTATTGTCCTGCTCAATTTATTAGTTTTATGATGCATGGACAGTTCAGCTCCCTGCAATATAACTTTTGGCATTTCAACCTTTAATATGTAGTTTTGACCAAATTAAATAATAATTTATATGTACATTGTTCACTAAGATTCGATAAAATACTATATAACAATATATATTATACAATCATCGAAAGGTAGAGATCAACTTCTTATTGATGACTTTCGATATCGACAAGCAAATAATAGCCAAGTAACGTGATGATGGGTATGAGCGCCGATATGTGGGTATCAATGAAAACAAAATTAACAATCACACCACATCCACACCCTTATTCATATAATTTTAATGAAATATTTGTTGCTAAAGGTTTTCAGCGACAAATCTTCAAAATCATTTATTTATTGTATATCATAAACATCCTTTTTCTTACCAAAATTTATGTCGTCTAATGTTCATCATTTTTATTACGAATGTTCGAAATTTTTACTTTGTAAAAAAAAGCAGTTTGTTCTTATTGTTTTTGAAGAACGAAAAAATATTATTCATTTTGTCAATGGATGATATTCAGATGACAAACAATTGAAATTTGCAAAATTAAAAATTCATTTATCGATAATTGTTTCACTTATTCGATCCTTAGAAAAAATTCCATAATGATCTTATTTTTGTTCTCTACTGCATTATAAGTTTAGTTTATAAAATGTTGATTGAATTGGTTTCTGATATTTTTAAAAACTATTTTGTGCAATTAATACTATCGATATAATTTTATCATCTAATTTTTTACTGTGATAGTTGCCTGTAACTTCCGTTAAAACAATAGTGATTACTTGCCGAGAAAAAACAGCACTTAATCAAAATGATATTCAGCTTTTCATACAATCCCTTTTCAATTTTCCTGTTCTGTTTAATCATACGAAAATGTATTCCATTTCAGGATTTCATTATCAATTTCGATGAAAAAATGAACAATCGTAAAAAAAATCTTAATTAAAATACGAATACAAGAGATATTTACAATCTTCTTTTTAAATCAAACAATATAGTTTATTATTTGAATGCAAAAAATGTTTTAATGAATGCATATTGTTCTTTTTCTGTTTTTTTGTTGACGTCACAAATATGTCTTTCTTTGCTGATGTTGTCGAAAAGAATTGCTACTAAGAAAACGAACCATGACAATAAATTAGTATTTCAAGAGTAAGAAAAAGTAGAATAAATTTCCATTGATTAATATACCTGATCAATAAGGAATGAAAAAAGAATATAATGCAACATTGTGGAACTAAAAGAAAAGCCAGCATTATTACAGGATACTGATAGACACAAAGTTTGCACAAACATATACTATGAAATTTGAATTCCAGTAGCATTTTTTCAAGACGAATATCATTGTGATTTTGTCATAAATGATTTACGCTAATGCAAAAAAAATTGTCAAAAAAAACTATTATTTGACAAATCAGAATAACATTTAAATCCTCTCAGAGCACCTATTATATGTGCATCTGGATGTAAAGGCCATATTATTTTGTTTCGGAATTAAACAAGGAGAATCTTTTCTTAGGAGTAATTTACAAATTCTTAAATTTTTATTAGGAGCTTTCCTGTTCATGATTAGTAGATCATAGGATTAATTTTAGATTCAATGAGAGTTGGTTGTTGTCGATATTAACTTTGATAAAGAGTATTTAGATAGATATCGAATAGTATTTCTTCGCATTCATAACTAAATTTAAATAATATTCTATAAAATGAACTTTTTTTATTGTTGATTGCATTGCTTTCATTTTATAATGAATACATATTTTGATTTTAGCATATTGATCTGTCGAAAGAAATTCGCTTTTGCTTACAATGAATTTTTTGAATAATAGACAACTACCTGTTGCTTAACTATTGGTAAAGCATCTCGATGTGATTGAATATTAATCAAGTTGAAAATAGCACGAAAAATAATTATCACCAATACGGTTTCGAATACTATCACATGCAGGCGCTCGCAAATTCTATTCACTTCTTGATTAAAAAAACCCTTTTCTTACTTTCGTCACAAGCTTTGGCAAAGCAAAAAAGAAAACAACAGAAGTCATTTTTCATACGTGCTTCAGGTTACAATCATCACAGTGAGTATTGAGAAACAATTGATACTATTGCAACAAGAACTGTATTTACAGGTATTGAAATTTATGTCATTAATGTGCTCCTGATTAGGAGAATCTATAACTTAGTGAAATCATCTAGTTTTTTTTTGTTTTTTTTATTATTATGCTAAAAAATCATCTAGTTTTATATTGATATTTACATTGAATTTTTACTTTAAAATATTTATTTAATAGAGGAACTTGAAAAGTAGATTATTCTTGAAAACTACTAGATTTAGTTCTAGTCCACATACTGCAATACCAAGAGAATAAAGTTTCAAAACTACATAAGTCACGAAGTTACAAAGTCGAAAAAAATTGCATTAAAATAATGGAACAGATATAAAAACAAATGTATCTCTAATTTATTTATTAAAGCACGTATTTTCATCAGTTTATATGCTATGATTTTGATTAAAACTCAAATTCATTGCATTTTCTTCATTAAGATGTCCCTTCAAATCAATAAATATGAAACAAATCAATTCTTATGTCTGTTTCATCTCTGAAAGAGCCTTTTTTATCGTGCTTTTGTTAAAAAATTCACGAAAGTCATGAGACTAAAGTTGAATTTTTAGGACCATGGATACTCTCATTGATCACAGTCGTAAAAACAAGCAAGTAATGCATATTGATATTCAGAACTGTTGTCAATATAAACAATATCCTTTTCCTCTCAATTAAAAAAAGCTCATCTCGCTGCAAACTTTATCAGACAACTTCTCATTTGTTTCTTTTTCGCTTGTTGAGAGGGACTGTTTCTAAACGCACATTCTACTCAGCATAATATAAATTCATGAGATTTTCTGATAAATCATTAACTGTGGTTTTTCATCATATGATATTATTCGAGTCATTTGCTTTTCTAGATTTTGATTCATTGGTTTAAGTAGTGACTAACAATGTGCTTGAGTCTGTTTACATTGTTTTATTTTTTCATTTTTACTGCTGCAAAACACTTCAATGGAGGAAGTATCGGATGGGCTCCCGTTGATCCTTATGATAATTCTACGTCAGTTAATATTACTATCACACAGACTTATTCGTGGACATATCCATATATAAAATGTCTAAACAATGTGCCGAGCTCGACTAATGGATGGAGCGGTGCAAATACTAATCTGACTTGTGTAGTTGATTGTTCGACTGATGGTGGTTATTCTAATGCTCCAATTGATATTCTCACCGATTGTACATCAGCTAGTGCATCAATGAAAATGATGACAAGTGAACGATCGAAGAGTGTTACTCTATCTGCTGATGCACATTTTTATATAGCTTATAGAGGAAGTGCTTGGGTAGCATTAAATGATCCTTCTCAACAAGGCCTTGACTGGTCTATTGTAACATACATTGATCTTCGTAAACGACCAGATGGTTTTATTAATACTCCGCCTGTTGCCAAAGTTGTTTCTCCACAATATGCCATTGTAAATAAAACAATACAAATAAATATACCTGTTTCGGATGCCAATGCTGGTGATGATGTACGTTGTCGATGGTCAACATATACAACTGGTTATCGAAGACGAAAGCGATTCGACAAAGAAGAGCATATCAAGCATCGATCTGATGTTCGCTTTTACGAAGAAGTAGCTAAGGATAGAGAAATGATTTATATTAGAAAAAAAAGAGGAAGCTGTGGTAGTTGCAGCCATTCATGTCCAAATGGCTGTGATTGCAGCTGTCCTGGTTGTGGATCCGGATCATGTACTGGCTCGACATGTACTGACTCCGGTGGTTGTGATGCGACAACTACAACCATTGGGACCACCACAACTGTTGCGGCAACTACAACCGGTGCGACCACTACAACTCATGTGACCACCACAACCGTTGCAGCAACTACAACCGCTGCAACAACTACAACTGTTGCGGCAACTACAACCGGTGCGACCACTACAACTCATGTGACCACCACAACCGTTGCAGCAACTACAACCGCTGCAATAACTACAACCGTTGCGACAACAACCGGTGCGACAACCACAACCGCTGCAACAACTACAACAGCTGCGACAACGACGACTGGTGCAACAACGACAACCGATACGACAACGACAACCGACACGACAACTACAACCGAAACGACAACCGATACGACAACCACAATGAATACAACTACTACAGAAACTCCAGGAACTCCGAGATCGACTTCGTCGTTTCCAATCCGGCAGGCAGTCGACGAATGTGGTGGTATTTGTTATCCAGGCAGTGTGCCTACTGGTACAACTCTGTCCAATTGCGCTATCACATTCACAGGCACTAAAGCAGGTGTCTGGTATGCAGTTGCTATTCAGGTAAACAGATTGTTATTCATTCATTACTTATTCTTCAGCCATGGTCATAGTATTATTTATTTTTATGGAGTACCGATCACTAGTATTGGTATATTTCGATATTTCGCAACTTATAAATAGTATTCCTTTCTTGCTGAGCTACTTTATAAGTTAGAAAACTATATGCAATCAACTATATCAGACACATCGTCACTTGACGAAAGAGATGATCTATAACTTTTATATCAGACATCAATCTAGAGGCAAAAGGCTGTTATGAGTATAAAAAAAACATATATAAGCTTATTTGTTATATAATCTAATATGTATGAATAGTATAGAATGATAATTTCTTTTTCTACAGGTTGAAGATTTTATCGATACATCAAGTACAACGCCAATGAGTTCAGTACCAGTTCAATTTTTAATTTATGTTCAAGCACAACCAGCTTGTTCACTAGAACCTCTAATTATTCCTCTAGATCGTTGTCTAGAAGTACAAGTTGGTGTCTCAATCAGCTTTAATCTATCTGCACTGAATTTATGTAATCAAAATGTGGCTACACTTACTGATATCGTTGTTGCAAGCGGAATTACTGGTATGACTCATGGTAATCTTACACATTCATCAACAAACTCATCGATCTACTATATGAAGTTCACTTGGACACCACAGGCAAATCAAATTGGATCGCAACAGTTATGTACAGTAGCATATACAAGGTAAAGTTTTTCTTTGTTAAATTTTCATAAGTTGAATATCGTCTTTTTTGTTAATTAGTGAACACTTGCAATCTGAGCAATATTGTGTGACATTTACTGTAAAAAATTCATCTGATACTTGTGTTACGACTACAACAACATCAACATCGACAACTACCACATCCGAGACGACGACAACGACAGAAACGACCACTACCACATCCGAAACAACAACAACAACTTCGACTTCAACGACATCTGAAACAACCACAACAACATCGGAGACAACGACTACGACGACAACTTCTTCAACGTCAACTTCATCTACATCATCCACATCAACAACGTCCAGCACAACATCTACCACAACTACATCGACGACTACGACATCAACTAGCTCAACAACAACTACATCGACGACTACAACGTCAACTAGCTCAACAACAACTACATCGACCACTACAACTGTGTAAGTAATCAAAAAAGAACGTTCAGTCAAAAGAGACTTAACCGTATTGATACTATTCCTATCCATTCTTCTTCAGGTTTTTTTTGTCTCATAATTATATGCTAAGAATCTCTGTCAAGTTTAAGTATTGTTCAGGAAAAACGCCATCAAATAACATTTGATGCTTGCTAGTTGTTTCTATTCAATAGACAAAAAAGTGTACAAATAACGCCTTGTGTGATGTGTGGTAACTAAATATATGACTTGTTAGAGTTTATTAAGATCAAAATATGCTTATTAACGAAATCAAGTTTCTGATTATTTTTGTAGGACAACAGCAACAACAACAACAAAAGTTTCAAGTAAGATTTATCAAATTTTTCTAAAACGCTAGTCATGACGGATCAGTCTGAGCTAGAATCTGAGAAATTTTTACTAAACATTATTAAACTTTCAAAAGTTCTTGTATAAACAGAATTGGAAGACAATTTGTCTACGAAAAAGAAGGTTTTTGACCAATATTAAAAGTTCTGTGAGAGACATTTATTCTCAAGTTGACTCTCGTGTCCTTGGTATTAGTTTAATACAATTACTTCAGATATAATATTTTCCGTTTATATAGAATCATCTATAAATTGGCTACTAATTTTGGGTTTGTCATTGTTGGCTTTATTGTTAGCTATATGCTGTTCTTTCTGTTGTTTGTATTGGTTTTTATGGTGAGTAGTTTCACTTTAATTTTTCCATAAAAGAACTAGCTCATAGTCTCCTCTTTAAAAAATTCTAATTCAAGTTCTTACTAATCGTATGAAAATAGAAATTAATTTAACTACATTTAATCGCATGTCGCACATTTGATTACATTACCATCCATATACGGCAGTACTCAAATGACAGGATGGTATATGAGCAGTAGGTTGTCAACTAAAGAACAATTTCGGTATAGCGTGGTAGAATGTCAATCAGAGGATACCTAACCGTTTAAGCATCGATGTATTTCAAATTATAACGAGCGATCTACCGACAGTTTGCTAACAGTTTTTTTTTCTGGTCAGGCTCACATGGAGTTCTAAGAAAAGAAACAAAATTTATTGAAAAAGAAATTGATTCAGAATTGTTTTTTTCTAATAGGGGTCCTGCTGCACGACGTCGCCGACGAAAATCAAAGGAAGAAGATACCAGCAAACGAATTTCTGAGTCAAGACTTATAACTAATGAATTAGAAAAAATAGCAGCTCCTCGCAAAATATTCAAATCAAATACACCAACTAGAGATTGTCGTTTTTATAATGCAATGGATCCTCACAATAACATGAACAATACCTTTCCATCAGACTTGCGCACAAGCTTGTCTGATTCCATTTGCTCTGAAGCAGTTACCATTATGACAGATGTAGAAGAGTATAGAGTTTCATCAACAGTTTCTGTCAAAAGAGTTAAGCGTGCTACTATAGAACAACAAAATAACACTGAAAAATTGGATGAAACGGGAAGCGTCCATATTAAATCACCAAATCATCTTGACAATAATGAAAATATTCGAACCACTCGACGTTCAACAGTCACAGTTCTGCGAGTACCAAGATTGGATAAAGAAAAACAGAACTATTCAATCACATCTCAGCAAAGCATTTTAAGTGCGTCATCAGTCAAATTATCGAAACTGGATCAAGTCAAGGTGACAAAAATACCACGAAGTCAATCAACGTTAAATCAACGAACTCGAGCAACAAGTCTTGGTAATGTAGTCACTATTAAATCGGACAAATCTTTCATCGAAATGAAACCAATAACAATTCATCCAAAGGCTACTTCACTTGCCACAAATATCAATGTACATAAAGTCAATCGAGTTAGCGTAATAAGACTGCCAAGAAAGTCTACTATTTCTTAATTTCGTCTTTAATGGATCAATGTTATCCTTGGACATTTGACTATTAAAATTATCTTTAGTTTTATAGAGTTCATTTTGATTAGTCTATAATATTTAACCATAAGACTGCTTTTGCTTATTTATTCATAAATAAAACAAGTTTTACTTGTTATTTGCATATTTCAGACGTTTAAAGTTGGTAATCAATGTCATCTGATTATTAGACTGTTGTTGAACTATATTAGCAACAATGTATTGAGTTCTATTGAATGAAAAGAGGCATTCAAAGCATATTACTTAAAGCATTGTATCGAAAAGATAATTCTAGTACATAATATAAATGCACAAAAATTATTAAAGGATTGACATTAGACTCTTTTACGAAAAGGTACCTAAGGGTGTAGGGTGTGGGTGTGGGTGTAGGTGGGTAGGTGAGTATGCTTTCTTGACAATACGCATATTCACACCCACCCCCTTACACCCACACGCACACACGCACACTCACACCCTACCCACACCCAACCACACACCTACACCCTCATGTGATCAGTTGGATGAAAGGGTAAGTATCATTGTACAAGTATACGCTCGGTTTTGTGTAGATCGTGCTATCATCTCAAAGAATCGTAATTGTTATTGTATTTAATTTTTTGTTTTATCTACTACAAATGGGGGAAATGATATCATGGGTGTGAAATGTAGGTGTTAGAGTTAGAGTTCTTTCGATTCACACCCACACCCTAGTTTGCTTATTAAGTTCAGATGAAAACATAAGATATACTTACAATAACTTCTGCTAATCCGCTTCCTCATTGAATTATTCGCACTACAGTTCTTTCAGTTATGTGTAAAGGAAAGAATTGCATAACAACAATGAAAGTTGATGACACATTGTCAATAAACATCTCGTGATAAAGAAAAGCAAATTTCAACATGCATTCATTTTAGTGGTTGATAATATTCAAAAACAAGCAAGATTTATGGCTGACAAAATTTCTTCATCTCTGTTGAAATTACCTATCGAGTTTGTGTATCGCATTCTGGACTATCTCGAGCCAGTAACAATTTTATTCTCATTTTGCAATGTTTGTACAAGGTTGAATATGATCACTGATATATATCGTCGATATCAGGTAAATTTTACGTTTATCACAGAGTCAGACTTTTATCGTGTTGCAATGTTACTCATTTCAATCAATGATTATCTCAATTATTTCAGTTGTTGATTTTAGAACAATAAAAATGCGATGGTAATATTATAACATCGAGAAGCGTTACTCTGAAGAAAAGAGTCATTTCGTTATTCAAGTTATTTTAGAACATTTCATTGAGACTCTTGCTTTTCTGAAATTCTTTACTAAATAGAAAACAAAGTTAATCTGTTTTGTAAATTCACCGAAGGTTTTCGCAGCATAATTTTATTACCCTGCAATAACTTCGAACACTGGTAGACCTAAATACGATGTCCAAACGCTTAAATTCTTATTTTCTCTAAAGTCCTTCTCTTGTTCAGACATTGAAGCCACACTAGAGGCACTATCAGGAAAAGATCACGATAAGCAAAACATTACTAATTCATTGTAAATTCCAAGGGGAAAACAGCGGACTTGAAGTACAAAAGTACGTCAAAGTACACTACTTGAAGTAGCTTAAAGTACTTCGAAGTAAGTCGAAGTAGCTTCAAGTAGCTCAAGTAACTTCAAGTACAAAAGTCCGCTGTTTTCCCTTGGTAAATTCCATCATTTTTCAACAATGATGCGTTCGAGTATGGGGTGTATTGGTGGAGGTGTGGATAGCGATCTCATTTTCATGTTATTTTAAAATATTTATAATTTTATCAATAATTTATATTCAACATAATTGCAAATATTTTTCCATTATTTCAATTTAAAAATAAGTATAACTTATCAATATTTGCATTTAAATAGATACTACCTTCTAACAATTTATTTTTACTTGTAAATATATTTTGTTTTCAAATTTAAATTTTTAATAAATACAAATCGTCATAAGGTACTATTTATTTTGAATATAAATACTAATAAATCGTAATTATTTTTATATTGAAATGAAGAAAAAAGCTGCTTGCGCTATCCTTGCAAAACTAAAATGTGAAACATGATGTAACTATTGCTGCCAATTTCCTTAAAAATATTTTTTAAATTTATATTGAGGCATATTTCTTCATGATTGCACACTATATAATCTGGGACTTCAACCGAAAAATACTCCGTATATGTTCCAAACAGGTGTTAATTATACAAGATCTCTAATATTCTCTTAACTCTTTGGCTGCAGAGTTTTTTCTACCAGCACAAAATTGGTATTTGGCAAAGATTTCGAAAAAAATAATGTGTACCTGCTTAGCAGTACTATGCGATAGCATGCTAATTCTTGTTATGCGAGACTACTCGTATGACCCGACTAACAAGGAAACATTCTCAGGTGTCGGAGTGCTTTTCAGCAGAGGTTTCGCGCATCTTGTAGCCCATAGTGAGCTGTGTCTATGGTAAAAAGAAGCTCAGGTTTCTGGCTTGTCTCTGAGGAGATAGAATACTTTAATACTGTTATGACTAAGACATTTTATATAGGAAAAAATCACCATCTCAGCCAATATGAAGAATGTTCCATAATAACTAAGAATAATTTGTTAATGATATTTTTTATACTTTTGTTTCACGTAGAGGGCTGAAATTTTATCATGAATATATTTAATTATGATCTTTTATTGTTGAAAGTTTCAGGTCTGTAACTATATATAACTAGTAGTGAAATACATCGTCAACATTGAAGTACATGGATTTCTGTACTCGATTTTTGCCCTAGTTTTCATGGAGAACACAAGGCAAAATCTAGTATGAAATCCATGTACTTCACTGTTGAAGATGTATTTCACTACTAGTTATATATAGTTACAGATCTGAAACTTTCAACAATAAAAGATCATAAATAAATATATTCGTGATAAAATTTCAGCCCTCTACGTGAAACAAAAGTATAAAAAATATCATTAACAATTTATTCTTAGTTATTATGGAACATTCTTCATATTGGCTGAGATGGTGATTTTTTCCTATATAAAATGACTTAGTCATAACAGTATTAAAGTATTCTATCTCCTCAGAGACAAGCCAGAAACCCGACCTTTTTTTTTACCATAGACACAGCTCACTATGGGCTACAAGATGCGCGAAACCCCTGCTGAAAAGCGTTCCGGCATCTGGGAATATTTCCTTGTAACTGCTAGAACCTCACAGGGATAAGCCTACCCCATTCTAGTTTGTGGTTGCTAGGAGTAAGTTTAGAATAGAGTAGGATAATGTTAATGTATGAATATTGATATGATCGCCGCGGTAACATTTGAGACGTTACCATAGATGTGACGTGCTTTGTATCAGGAGTAAGTTAAATCTCTGGTTCTTGGTGAATGAAGATATTTTGCGTTAGTAATGTAACGTGGTACGCATTAATTCAATAACTGATGATTACGTCCCGAAGTAGGACTCCTGTAAAGTTAACTAGGATAAGTAAACTATAAAGCATTAAATGAGATGAAAAACGAAAAACCATGCTCTTGCAGAACTCTAGTAAATCAAAGAAATCATAGGTATCAAAGAAGAAATCTAAGAAAAAACTCAGCCTTTATATATGCAGGCCTCGTAAAGAAAGGGTTAGAGCTGTGCATCAGTCTGTGATGGTCTCTGGAGCCTTTATGTTACGATCTGTGATGAGCAATTAATTGCTTAGATGATTATCAATTAATTAATTAAAATTTTTGTTACAACTTTTTCGGGGGGAGTGAATCTAATTTTCTACCCGATATACTTCGACATTCCTTGTCGATCGTGTTTCGGAAAAATATTAATAGTTACACTCTAAAAACTAGGTATTCTCTGAAATCGAGGAAAAAAGGTTTCCGAGGGTTCAGAAACCCATTTTTTCTTCTCGGAAACCATTAAAAGGTATCCGATGGTAACAATTTCGGAAACCGAAAATGGTTCCCGAGCCCTCGGAAACCCCTTCAAAAGTTTTCGAACTTCGGAAACCTTTTTCGGTTTCCGAGGTTGTTACTATCGGACACCTTGAAAGGGTATCCTAGGGTAAGAAATGGGTTTCCAAACCCTCGCAAACCTTTTTTCTTCGGTTTCCGAGAATACCTATTTTTTTAGAGTGTATATTAAGTATAAATAACCTATAATTTAATCTACGAGTACTATTTTCCCACATTCAAATTTTTCTTGTCTGTTCTATCTGACTATGTTACATCAAAAGTACGACTACCTTATTAATTGACATCTCCACGAACATCCCTCTGCTACAGGAAAAATAAATAACCTCAACATTGAGATGAAGCAGTTAGAATTCATAGTTTCGCAATGATGTAATTATTGTATCACTTTCGTGCCGTTTCTTGTCGCTAGGAAAAAGTATCCAATTATATTTACCTTTCTTCTCCCATAGTCATTAAAGGCTACGAGTGGGAGAAGGGGAGCGGTATTGGGTTCTGTAAAGAGGGCTACAAAAATCTTGATTTAAACTTACACTCACTTTTATTTCCTTCTAAAAATATACGTGAATCCCACAAAATATTGCAAGGTAATAACTACAAAACTCCAATACGATTAGATTTAGAAATTTCATCAAGGACAAATTCAATTTTGTAAACCCATATGTTGGTAAACATACCTCACAGCTATTCTGTTACAATTTGTTTCTAGCATTGCTTCATACAGTTTCTAGGGGAAAATGGTATTTGGCTTGTCATAACATTATTTGTAGAAAGCTTGAGTTGCAATGATCATACTGACAATGTTAACATTAGTGGATATTGTTCTCATTAAGAATTTACATTCGTTAAAACCGATTGGGTAGCGAAGAACAGTGAATTTGATTCAGAGTAATGCTTGTGATTGATCATGTCTTCTTCTTAATGTTCATTAGTCTGGTTTCAGTTTGATTTTTCTTGAAAATTCGTTAAGCTTAAAATTAAAGGCTGTGTTATTAGCTAATAATGCTTTAGA